GCAAATCATGCATCATCCATCCCACACTCATACATGTAGAATATAGCCAATCATGCATCATCCATCCCACACTCATACATGTAGCATATAGCCAATCATGCATCATCCATCCCACACTCATACATGTAGAATATAGCAAATCATGCATCATCCATCCCACACTCATACATGTAGAATATAGCCAATCATGCATCATCCATCCCACACTCATACATGTAGCATATAGCCAATCATGCATCATCCATCCCACACTCATACATGTAGAATATAGCCAATCATGCACCATCCTTCCCACACTCATACATGTAGAATATAGCCAATCATGCATCATCCATCCCACACTCATACATGTAGAATATAGCCAATCATGCACCATCCATCCCACACTCATACATGTAGCATATAGCCAATCATGCACCATCCATCCCACACTCATACATGTAGAATATAGCCAATCATGCACCATCCTTCCCACACTCATACATGTAGAATATAGCCAATCATGCATCATGCATCCCACACTCATACATGTAGAATATAGCCAATCATGCACCATCCTTCCCACACTCATACATGTAGAATATAGCCAATCATGCACCATCCATCCCACACTCATACATGTAGAATACAGCCAACCATGCACCATCCATCCCACACTCATACATGTGCCCCTGTCCGCTAAGCTGCGCACTCTCCCTGGGGCCTTGTCCTCCACTCTGCCCTGTCTGCCAATCTACCCTGTCTGTCCTCCAATCTGCCGTGTCTGTCCTCCAATCTGCTATGTCTGTCTGTCAGTCTGCCCTGTCTGCCCTCCACTCTGCCGTGTCTGTCCTCCAATCTGCTATGTCTGTCTATCAATCTGCCTTGTCTGTCCTCCAATCTGCTCTGTCTGTCAGTCTGTTAGTCTGCCCTGTCTGTTTGTCAATCTGCACTGTCTGGCTGTCAATCAGACCTGTCTTTCTGTCATTCTGCACTGTATGTCTGTCCACTCTGTCTGTCTGTCCGTCTGCCCTGTCTGTTTGTCCTTCAATCTGCCCTGTTTGTTCTCCAATCTACCCTGTCTGTCAATCTGTGTCTGTCTATCAGTCTGCACTGTCTGTCTGTCCTCCACTCTGCCCTGTCTCTGTCAGTTTGCCCTGTCTGTCCCCTAACCAGTCCTGTCTGTCCTCCAATTGGCTCTGTCTGTCAATCTGCTATGTCTGTCTGTTTATCTGCTCTGTCTGTCCTCCACTCTGATGTGTCTGTCAATCTGCCATGTCTGTCTGTTAATCTACACTGTCTGTCCTCCAATTGGCCCTGTCTATCTGTCAATCAGCCCTGTCTGTCAGTCAATCTGTCCCGTCTCTCTGTCAGTCTGCCCTGTCTGTCTGTCCTCCAATCTGCCCTGTCTGTCCTCCAATCTGCCCTGTCTGTCTGTCCTCCAATCTGCCCTGTCTGTCTGTCCTCCAATCTGCCCTGTCTGTTTGTCCTCCAATCTGCCCTGTCAGTTTGTCCTCCAATCTGCCCTGTCTATCTGTCCTCCAATCTGCCCTGTCTGTCTGTCCTCCAATCTGCCCTGTCTGTTTGTCCTCCAGTCTGCCCTGTCTGTCTGTCCTCCAATCTGCCCTGTCTGTTTGTCCTCCAATCTGCCCTGTCTGTCTGTCCTCCAATCTGCCCTGTCTGTTTGTCCTCCAATCTGCCCTGTCTATCTGTCCTCCAATCTGTCCCGTCTCTCTGTCAGTCTGCCCTGTCTGTTTGTCCTCCAATCTGCCCTGTCTGTCTGTCCTCCAATCTGCCCTGTCTGTCTGTCCTCCAATCTGCCCTGCCTGTCCTGCACTCTCTCTCACTCTGTCCTCTTTGCAGTTTGTTTAGTAATCTAGGTGACATATTCTGTTCACTGATATATTCTTTTTATAAATTGCGACCTCTGGTTATCTGAATACAGCAATGTCTCTGATCCTTCATATCGTCATTCTATTTATTTTATTGTTTTTACAGGCCCCCCTGGACTGCCAGGATCCAGAATAGTACCCGGTGAGATAATAACCCAAAATGTATGCATAGAAAGCTGGTTTTGGAAGTGGCTGAATGCTGAAGACTGCCTGAAAGAAAGGAGTTATGGGTTTCGAAGTAATCCAGAATGGAAGGGGTTACTAGGTTCCATCTAGTTATATGATCCAGAATGGAAGGGGTTACTGGGTTCTATCTAGTTATATGATCCAGAATGGAAGGGGTTACTGGGTTCCATCTAGTTATATGATCCAGAATGGAAGGGGTTACTGGGTTCCATCTAGTTATATGATCCAGAATGGAAGGGGTTACTGGGTTCTATCTAGTTATATGATCCAGAATGGAAGGGGTTACTGGGTTCCATTGAGTTAAATGATCCAGAATGGAAGGGTTACTGGGTTCCATCTAGTTATATGATCCAGAATGGAAGGGGTTACTGGGTTCCATCTAGTTATATGATCCAGAATGGAAGGGGTTACTGGGTTCTATCTAGTTATATGATCCAGAATGGAAGGGGTTACTGGGTTCTATCTAGTTATATGATCCAGAATGGAAGGGGTTACTGGGTTCCATCTAGTTATATGATCCAGAATGGAAGGGGTTACTGGGTTCCATCTAGTTATATGATCCAGAATGGAAGGGGTTACTGGGTTCCATCTAGTTATATGATCCAGAATGGAAGGGGTTACTGGGTTCCATCTAGTTATATGATCCAGAATGGAAGGGGTTACTGGGTTTCCATCTAGTTATATGATCAGAGATGGAAGGGGTTACTGGGTTCCATTGAGGTTAAATGATCCAGAATGGAAGGGGTTACTGGGTTCCATCTAGTTATATGATCCAGAATGGAAGGTTACTGGGTTCCATCTAGTTATATGATCCAGAATGGAAGGGGTTACTGGGTTCCATCTAGTTATATGATCCAGAATGGAAGGGGTTACTGGGTTCCATTGAGTTATATAATCCAGAATGGAAGGGGTTACTGGGTTCTGTCTAGTTATATAATCCAGAATGGAAGGGGTTACTGGGTTCTATCTAGTTATATGATCCAGAATGGAAGGGGTTACTGGGTTCCATCTAGTTATATGATCCAGAATGGAAGGGGTTACTGGGTTCTATCTAGTTATATAATCCAGAATGGAAGGGGTTACTGGGTTCCATCTAGTTATATAATCCAGAATGGAAGGGGTTACTGGGTTCTATCTAGTTATATGATCCAGAATGGAAGGGGTTACTGGGTTCCATTGAGTTATATAATCCAGAATGGAAGAGGTTACTGGGTTCCATCTAGTTATATGATCCAGAATGGAAGGGGTTACTGGGTTCCATTGAGTTATATAATCCAGAATGGAAGAGGTTACTGGGTTCCATCTAGTTATATGATCCAGAATGGAAGGGGTTACTGTGTTCTATCTAGTTATATGATCCAGAATGGAAGGGGTTACTGGGTTCCATTGAGTTATATGATCCAGAATGGAAGGGGTTACTGGGTTCCATCTAGTTATATGATCCAGAATGGAAGGGGTTACTGGGTTCTATCTAGTTATATGATCCAGAATGGAAGGGGTTACTGGGTTCCATTGAGTTATATAATCCAGAATGGAAGGGGTTACTGGGTTCTATCTAGTTATATGATCCAGAATGGAAGGGGTTACTGGGTTCTATCTAGTTATATGATCCAGAATGGAAGGGGTTACTGGGTTCTATCTAGTTATATGATCCAGAATGGAAGGGGTTACTGGGTTCCATTGAGTTATATGATCCAGAATGGAAGGGGTTACTGGGTTCCATCTAGTTATATGATCCAGAATGGAAGGGGTTACTGGGTTCCATTGAGTTATATGATCCAGAATGGAAGGGGTTACTGGGTTCCATCTAGTTATATGATCCAGAATGGAAGGGGTTACTGGGTTCCATTGAGTTATATAATCCAGAATGGAAGGGGTTACTGGGTTCTATCTAGTTATATGATCCAGAATGGAAGGGGTTACTGGGTTCCATCTAGTTATATGATCCAGAATGGAAGGGGTTACTGGTTCTATCTAGTTATATAATCCATTCATTGGGTTCCATCTAGTTATATGATCCAGAATGGAAGGGGTTACTGGGTTCCATTGAGTTATATGATCCAGAATGGAAGGGGTTACTGGGTTCCATCTAGTTATATGATCCAGAATGGAAGGGGTTACTGGGTTCCATTGAGTTATATAATCCAGAATGGAAGGGGTTACTGGGTTCTATCTAGTTATATGATCCAGAATGGAAGGGGTTACTGGGTTCCATTGAGTTATATGATCCAGAATGGAAGGGGTTACTGGGTTCCATCTAGTTATATGATCCAGAATGGAAGGGGTTACTGGGTTCCATTGAGTTATATGATCCAGAATGGAAGGGGTTACTGGGTTCCATTGAGTTATATAATCCAGAATGGAAGGGGTTACTGGGTTCCATTGAGTTATATGATCCAGAATGGAAGGGGTTACTGGGTTCTATCTAGTTATATGATCCAGAATGGAAGGGGTTACTGGGTTCTATCTAGTTATATGATCCAGAATGGAAGGGGTTACTGGGTTCCATCTAGTTATATGATCCAGAATGGAAGGGGTTACTGGGTTCCATCTAGTTATATGATCCAGAATGGAAGGGGTTACTGGGTTCTATCTAGTTATATGATCCAGAATGGAAGGGGTTACTGGGTTCCGTCTAGTTATATGATCCAGAATGGAAGGGGTTACTGGGTTCCGTCTAGTTATATGATCCAGAATGGAAGGGGTTACTGGGTTCCGTCTAGTTATATAATCCAGAATGGAAGGGGTTACTGGGTTCTATCTAGTTATATGATCCAGAATGGAAGGGGTTACTGGGTTCTGTCTAGTTATATGATCCAGAATGGAAGGGGTTACTGGGTTCTGTCTAGTTATATGATCCAGAATGGAAGGGGTTACTGGGTTCCATCTAGTTATATGATCCAGAATGGAAGGGGTTACTGGGTTCCATCTATATGATCCAGAATGGAAGGGGTTCAGAATGGAAGGGGTTACTGGGTTCCATCTAGTTATATGATCCAGAATGGAAGGGGTTACTGGGTTCTATCTAGTTATATGATCCAGAATGGAAGGGGTTACTGGGTTCCATCTAGTTATATGATCCAGAATGGAAGGGGTTACTGGGTTCCATCTAGTTATATGATCCAGAATGGAAGGGGTTACTGGGTTCCATCTAGTTATATGATCCAGAATGGAAGGGGTTACTGGGTTCCATCTAGTTATATGATCCAGAATGGAAGGGGTTACTGGGTTCCATCTAGTTATATGATCCAGAATGGAAGGGGTTACTGGGTTCCATCTAGTTATATGATCCAGAATGGAAGGGGTTACTGGGTTCCATCTAGTTATATGATCCAGAATGGAAGGGGTTACTGGGTTCCATCTAGTTATATGATCCAGAATGGAAGGGGTTACTGGGTTCTATCTAGTTATATGATCCAGAATGGAAGGGGTTACTGGGTTCTATCTAGTTATATGATCCAGAATGGAAGGGGTTACTGGGTTCCATCTAGTTATATGATCCAGAATGGAAGGGGTTATTGGGTTCTATCTGGTTATATGATCCAGAATGGAAGGGGTTACTGGGTTCCATCGAGTTATATAATCCAGAATGGAAGGGGTTACTGGGTTCCATTGAGTTATATAATCCAGAATGGAAGGGGTTACTGGGTTCTGTCTAGTTATATAATCCAGAATGGAAGGGGTTACTGGGTTCCATCTAGTTATATGATCCAGAATGGAAGGGGTTACTGGGTTCCATCTAGTTATATGATCCAGAATGGAAGGGGTTACTGGGTTCTATCTAGTTATATGATCCAGAATGGAAGGGGTTACTGGGTTCCATCTAGTTATATGATCCAGAATGGAAGAGGTTACTGGGTTCCATTGAGTTATATAATCCAGAATGGAAGGGGTTACAGGATTTTTGTAAAAAGAACATGAATGGAAAGAGTTCATATTATACATTCTCCTCCTAGGTGGGAATATTATACGACTTATTGGCTCTTTAAACCGTGGTCGTGTGGAGATCAGTCGGAATGGAGAGTGGGGAACAATCTGCGATGACAACTGGGATTTAAATGATGCCAAAGTGATCTGTCGGATGCTAGGATTTAACAGAGCCTTAGAGGCTTTCACTGCAGATCCAGGTAAGGCCAGGTGAGGGCATTCCACCCTCAGAGATCCACTTAGTACAATCTTTCACCTGTGGATCTTGCAGTAATAATTCACAATCAGTTCTCGCAGTCAGATCCCGCAGTAATAATCCACAATTAGTTCTCGCAGTCAGTTCCCGCAGTCAGTTCTCACAGTCAGATCCCTCAGTCAGATCCCTCAGTCAGTTCTCACAGAGTCAGTTCTCGCAGTCAGATCCTGCAGTCAGTTCTCGCAGTCAGATCCCTCAGTCAGTTCTCGCAGAGTCAGTTCTCGCAGTCAGTTCCCTCAGTCAGATCCCTCAGTCAGATCCCTCAGTCAGTTCTCGCAGTCAGTTCTCGCAGTCAGTTCCCTCAGTCAGATCCCTCAGTCAGATCCCTCAATGAGTTCTCACAGTCAGATCACGCAGTCAGATCCCTCAGTCAGTTCTCACAGTCAGATCCCGCAGTCAGTTCTCACAGTCAGATCCCGCAGTCAGTTCTCGCAGTCAGTTCCCTCAGTCAGATCTCTCAGTCAGTTCTCACAGTCAGACCCCGCAGTCAGTTCTCGCAGTCAGTTTCCTCAGTCAGTTCCCTCAGTCAGATCCCTCAGTCAGTTCTCGCAGTCAGATCCCGCAGTCAGTTCTGGCAGTCAGTTCCCTCAGTCAGATCCCTCAGTCAGTTCTCACAGTCAGATCCCGCAGTCAGATCCCGCAGTCAGATCCCGCAGTCAGATCCCGCAGTCAGATCCCTCAGTCAGTTCTCGCAGTCAGTTCTCGCAGTCAGACCCCGCAGTCAGTTCTCGCAGTCAGTTTCCTCAGTCAGTTCTCAAAGTCAGATCCCGCAGTCAGATCCCTCCGTCCATTCTCGCAGTCAGATCCCGCAGTCAGTTCTCGCAGTCAGTTCCCTCAGTCAGATCCCTCAGTCAGTTCTCACAGTCAGACCCCGCAGTCAGATCTCAAAATCAGATCCCGCAGTCAGTTCGCAAAATCAGATCTCGCAGTCAGTTCTCACAGTCAGTTCTCGCAGTCAGTTCACGCATTAAATTCTCCAAGTCAGATCTCACAGTCAGTTCCCACAGTTAGGCCCCGCAGTCAGATTTTGCAGACAGATCTCGCAGACAGTTCTCGCAGTCAGATTTCGCAGATAGTTCTCGCAGATAGATCCCGCAGACAGATCTCGCAGTCAGTTCTCGCAGATAGATCCCGCAGTCAGATCCCTCAGTCAATTCTCGCAGTCAGTTCTCGCAGTCAGTTCTCGCAGTCAGTTCTCGCAGTCAGTTCCCTCAGTCAGATCCCTCAGTCAGTTCTCACAGTCAGACCCCGCAGTCAGATCTCAAAATCAGATCCCGCAGTCAGTTCGCAAAATCAGATCTCGCAGTCAGTTCTCGCAGTCAGTTCTCACAGTCAGATCGCTCAGTCAGTTCTCACAGTCAGTTCCCGCAGTCAGATTTCACAGATAGTTCTCGCAGATAGATCTCGCAGACAGTTCTCGCAGTCAGATTTCGCAGACAGTTCTCGCAGTCAGATTTCGCAGATAGATCTCGCAGTCAAATTTCGCAGATAGTTCTCGCAGATAGATCCCGCAGACAGATCTCGCAGTCAGTTCTCGAAGTCAGTTCTCGCAGTCAGTTCTCGCAGATAGATCGCGCAGACAGATCCCACAGACAGATCTCGCAGTCAGATCCCGCAGTCAATTCCTGCAGTCAGTTCTCGCAGTCAGTTCCCGCAGTCAGATCCCTCAGTCAGTTCTCACAGAGTCAGTTCTCGCAGTTAGATCCCTCAGTCAGATCCCTCAGTCAGATCCCTCAGTCAGTTCTCGCAGAGTCAGTTCCCTCAGTCAGTTCCCTCAGTCAGTTCCCTCAGTCAGTTCCCTTAGTCAGATCCCGCAGTCAGATCCCTCAGTCAGTTCTCACAGTCAGTTCTCACAGTCAGTTACCTCAGTCAGTTCTCACAGTCAGTTCTCACAGTCAGAGCCCGCAGTCAGTTCTCGCAGTCAGTTCCCTCAGTCAGATCTCAAAATCAGATCCCGCAGTAAGTTCGCAAATTCAGATCTCGCAGTCAGTTCTCGCAGTCAGTTCTCACAGTCAGATCGTGCAGTCAGTTCTCACAGTCAGTTCTCGCAGTCAGATCCCGCAGTTAGATCTCAAAATCAGATCCCGCAGTCAGTTCGCAACATCAGATCTCGCAGTCAGTTCTCGCAGTCAGTTCTCGCAGACAGATCCCTCAGTCAGTTCTCGCAGTCAGTTCTCGCAGTCAGTTCCCTCAGTCAGTTCCCTCAGTCAGATCCCTCAGTCAGTTCTCACAGTCAGACCCCACAGTCAGTTCTCTCAGTCAGTTCTCTCAGTCAGTTCTCTCAGTCAGTTCTCACAGTCAGTTCTCGCAGTCAGTTCTCGCAGATACATCCCGCAGTCAGATCTCGCAGATACATCCCGCAGTCAGATCTCGCAGTCAAATCTCACAGTCAGATGTCGCAGTCAGTTCACGCAGTCAGATCTCGCAGACAGTTCTCACAGACAGTTCCGCAGTCAGTTCTCGCAGTCAGTTTCCTCAGTCAGTTCCCTCAGTCAGATCCCTCAGTCAGATCCCGCAGTCAGTTCTCGCAGTCAGTTCCCTCAGTCAGATCCCTCAGTCAGTTCTCACAGTCAGATCCCGCAGTCAGATCCCGCAGTCAGATCCCTCAGTCAGTTCTCACAGTCAGACCCCGCAGTCAGATCTCAAAATCAGATCCCGCAGTCAGTTCGCAAAATCAGATCTCGCAGTCAGTTCTCGCAGTCAGTTCTCACAGTCAGATCGCTCAGTCAGTTCTCACAGTCAGTTCCCGCATTAAATTCTCACAGTCAGATCTCGCAGTCAGTTCTCACAGTCAGTTCCCGCAGTCAGATTTCACAGATAGTTCTCGCAGATAGATCTCGCAGTCAGTTCTCACAGTCAGATTTCGCAGACAGTTCTCGCAGTCAGATTTCGCAGATAGATCTCGCAGTCAAATTTCGCAGATAGTTCTCGCAGATAGATCCCGCAGACAGATCTCGCAGTCAGTTCTCGAAGTCAGTTCTCGCAGTCAGTTCTCGCAGATAGATCGCGCAGACAGATCCCACAGTCAGATCCCTCAGTCAGTTCTCACAGTCAGTTCTCACAGTCAGTTACCTCAGTCAGTTACCTCAGTCAGTTACCTCAGTCAGTTCTCACAGTCAGTTCTCACAGTCAGAGCCCGCAGTCAGTTCTCGCAGTCAGTTCCCTCAGTCAGATCTCAAAATCAGATCCCGCAGTAAGTTCTCAAATTCAGATCTCGCAGTCAGTTCTCACAGTCAGATCGTGCAGTCAGTTCTCACAGTCAGTTCTCGCAGTCAGATCCCGCAGTTAGATCTCAAAATCAGATCCCGCAGTCAGTTCGCAACATCAGATCTCGCAGTCAGTTCTCGCAGACAGATCCCTCAGTCAGTTCTCGCAGTCAGTTCTCGCAGTCAGTTCCCTCAGTCAGTTCCCTCAGTCAGATCCCTCAGTCAGTTCTCACAGTCAGACCCCACAGTCAGTTCTCTCAGTCAGTTCTCGCAGTCAGTTCTCGCAGATACATCCCGCAGTCAGATCTCGCAGATACATCCCGCAGTCAGATCTCGCAGATACATCCCGCAGTCAGATCTCGCAGTCAAATCTCGCAGTCAGATGTCGCAGTCAGTTCACGCAGTCAGATCTCGCAGACACTTCTCACAGACAGTTCCGCAGTCAGTTCTCGCAGTCAGTTTCCTCAGTCAGTTCCCTCAGTCAGATCCCTCAGTCAGTTCTCGCAGTCAGTTCTCGCAGTCAGATCTCGCAGTCAAATCTCGCAGTCAGATCTCGCAGTCAGTTCTCGCAGTCAGATCTCGCAGACAGTTCTCACAGACAGTTCCGCAGTCAGTTCCGCAATCAGATCTCGCAGTCAGTTCTCGCAGTCAGATCTCACAGACAGTTCTGCAGACAGTTCTCGCAGACTGTTCTTGCAGTCAGTTCCCGCAGTCAGATCTCGCAGTCAGATCTCGCAGTCAGATCTCGCAGTCAGATCTCGCAGTCAGATCTCGCAGTCAGTTCCGCAGTCAGTTCCGCAGTCAGATCTCGCAGTCAGTTCTCACAGTCAGTTCTCGCAGTCAGATCCCGCAGTAATTTCTTGCAGTCAGTAAAATTTTGAATATTGGGGTGCATTGTCTTGACTGATTGGTGTTTTGTGCAGGTTCTGGGAAGATTCTGTTGGACGATGTAAACTGCAATGGTGATGAGGAATCAATACTTCAGTGCAAGAAATCAGAGTGGGAGATTCACAACTGCAAGCATGCTGAAGATGCAGGGGTGACCTGCGCCTAACCCACAAACTGCTTCTGGCCATATTCCCATGCTCTTTATGCATTCATCACTCTCTATCCCATGTTGGAGTCTCCTTCATCCTCCCTGGCAACATTAACAAATCGTGTCTAAGATTTTTTTCATTAAGTCATTAATTGCCATGCAGGATCTATTTCTTAATCCGGCACTTGCGAGCTTAAATCTTTCTCTGCTTTTGACCTGATGTTGAAAGATGAACTTGATTCTCACTTAGCAATCAGCTGGCATTACACGAGAGAACCCTGGACTGATTGTCAGCTGCTTGGTTTAGTAGATAATTCTGGTTATTCACAGAAAGAAACAATAGTAACACCCTGTGTACCAGAAAAGTGGATAAAGATATATATCCAAATATATTGCTATATGTTTATTGTTGGCATTTCTCAAAAAAGAAAAGAAAACAATGTGAATTAATGCAATCCTTCAGCATGTGACAAAAATACACCAAAACTAATGAGAAACAGACAAAATCTATCAAATGGTTCCCTTCCAGTATCTCGCTATCCAGGATAGATACACAACATTCAAAATAAATTACCTTTAAATAAAGTTCTTAATATGAATAGCAAACAATAAAGTGCAGCAAGATGAAATATTAGAAGCCATTAACCTAAAACTAGACAATATAAAGGAACCCTTTCAAAATGTATCTCAAAACCGGATATATAATAACACGCACAAACACAGCATTAAGTAACATGGAGTGTCCCTTTAATAATATAAACCCACCCAGTATAACTGTAACCTAACCTACACAGTGCACCTAACGTGTGTGGGAGCCTGGAGTGTCCCTTTAATGATATAAACCCACCTAGTATAACTAACTGTAACCTAACCTACACAGTGCATCTAACGTGTGTGGGAGCCTGGAGTGTCCCTTTAATACTATAAACCCACCCAGTATAACTAACTGTAACCTAACCTACACAGTGCATCTAACGTGTGTGGGAGCCTGGAGTGTCCCTTTAATAATATAAACCCACCCAGTATAACTAACTGTAACCTAACCTACACAGTGCATCTAATGTGTGTGGGAGCCTGGAGTGTCCCTTTAATAATATAAACCCACCCAGTATAACTAACTGTAACCTAACCTACACAGTGCATCTAACGTGTGTGGGAGCCTGGAGTGTCCCTTTAATAATATAAACCCACCCAGTATAACTAACTGTAACCTAACCTACACAGTGCACCTAACGTGTGTGGGAGCCTGGAGTGTCCCTTTAATAATATAAACCACCCAGTATAACTAACTGTAACCTAACCTACACAGTGCATCTAACGTGTGTGAGAGCCTGGAGTGTCCCTTTAATAATATAAACCCACCCAGTAAAACTAACTGTAACCTAACCTACACAGTGCACCTAACGTGAGTGGGAGCCTGGAGTGTCCCTTTAATAATATAAACCCACCCAGTATAACTAACTGTAACCTAACCTACACAGTCCACCTAACGTGTGTGGGAACCTGAAGTGTCCCTTTAATAATATATACCCACCCAGTATAACTAACTGTAACCTAACCTACACAGTGCATCTAACGTGTGTGGGAGCCTGGAGTGTCCCTTTAATAATATATACCCACCCAGTATAACTAACTGTAACCTAACCTACACAGTGCATCTAACGTGTGTGGGAGCCTGGAGTGTCCCTTTAATAATATAAACCCACCCAGTATAACTAACTGTAACCTAACCTACACAGTGCATCTAACGTGTGGGAGCCTGGAGTGTCCCTTTAATAATATAAACACCCAGTATAACTAACTGTAACCTAACCTACACAGTGCACCTAACGTGTGTGGGAGCCTGGAGTGTCCCTTTAATAATATAAACCCACCCAGTATAACTACCTGTAACCTAACCTACACAGTGCATCTAACATGTGTGGGAGCCTGGGGTGTTCCTTTAATAATATAAACCCACCCAGTATAACTAACTGTAACTGTAACCTAACTTACACAGTGCATCTAACGTGTGTGGGAGCCTGGAGTGTCCCTTTGATAATATAAACCCACCCAGTATAACTAACTGTAACCTAACCTACACAGTGCATCTAACCTGTGTGGGAGCCTGGAGTGTCCCTTTAATAATATAAACCCACCCAGTATAACTGTAACCTAACCTACACAGTGCATCTAACGTGTGTGGGAGCCTGGAGTGTCCCTTTAATAATATAAACCCACCTAGTATAACTAACTGTAACCTACACAGTGCACCTAACGTGTGTGGGAGCCTGGAGTGTCCCTTTAATAATATAAACCCACCCAGTATAACTAACTGTAACCTAACCTACACAGTGCATCTAACGTGTGTGGGAACCTGGAGTGTCCATTTAATAATATAAACCCACCCAGTATAACTAACTGTCACCTAACCTACACAGTGCATCTAACGTGTGTGGGAGCCTGGAGTGTCCCTTTAATAATATAAACCCACCCAGTATAACAGTAACCTAACCTACACAGTGCACCTAGCGTGTGTGGGAGCCTAAAGTGTCCCTTTAATAATATAAACCCACCCAGTATAATTAACTGTAACCTAACCTACACAGTGCACCTAACGTGTGTGGGAGCCTGAGTGTCCCTTTAATAATATAAACCCACCCAGTATAACTGTAACCTAACCTACACAGTGCATCTAACGTGTGTGGGAGCCTGGAGTGTCCCTTTAATAATATAAACCCACCCAGTATAACTAACTGTAACCTAACCTACACAGTGCATCTAACGTGTGTGGGAGCCTGGAGTGTCCCTTTAATAATATAAACCCACCCAGTATAACTAACTGTAACCTAACTTACACAGTGCATCTAACGTGTGTGGGAGCCTGGAGTGTCCCTTTAATAATATAAACCCACCCAGTATAACTAACTGTAACCTAACCTACACAGTGCATCTAATGTGTGTGGGAGCCTGGAGTGTCCCTTTAATAATATAAACCCACCCAGTATAACTAACTGTAACCTAACCTACACAGTGCATCTAACGTGTGTGGCAGCCTGGAGTGTCCCTTTAATAATATAAACCCACCCAGTATAACTGTAACCTAACATACACAGTGCATCTAACGTGTGTGGGAGCCTGGAGTGTCCCTTTAATAATATAAACCCACCCAGTATAACTAACTGTAACCTAACCTACACAGTGCACCTAACGTGTGTGGGAGCCTGGAGTGTCCCTTTAATAATATAAACCCACCCAGTATAACTGTAACGTAACCTACACAGTGTATCTAACATGTGTGGGAGCCTGGAGTGTCCCTTTAATAATATAAACCCCCCCAGGATAACTGTAACCTAACCTACACAGTGCATCTAACGTGTGTGAGAGCCTGGAGTGTCCCTTTAATAATATAACCCCCCGCAGTATAGCTAACTGTAACCTAACCTACACGGTGCACCTAACATGTGGGAGCCTGGAGTGTCCCTTTAATAATATAAACCCACCCAGTATAACCAAGTGTAACCTAACCTACACAGTGCATCTAACGTGTGTGTGAGCCTGGAGTGTCTCTTTAATAATATAAACCCACCCAGTATAACCAAGTGTAACCTAACCTACACAGTGCACCTAACGTATGTGGGAGCCTGGGGTGTCCCTTTAATAATATAAACCGACCAAGTATAACTAACTGTAACCTAACCTACACATTGCATCTACCGTGTGTGGGAGCCTGGAGTGTCCCTTTAATAATATAAACCCACCCAGTATAACTAACTGTAACCCAACCTACACAGTGCATCTAACGTGTGTGGGAGCCTGGAGTGTCCCTTTAATAATATAAACCCACCCAGTATAACTAACTGTAACCTAACCTACACAGTGCATCTAATGTGTGTGGGAGCCTGGAGTGTCCCTTTAATAATATAAACCCACCCAGTATAACTGTAACCTAACCTACACAGTGCATCTAACGTGTGTGGGAGCCTGGAGTGTCCCTTTAATAATATAAACCCACCCAGTATAACTACCTGTAACCTAACCTACACAGTGCATCTAACGTGTGTGGGAGCCTGGAGTGTCCCTTTAATAATATAAACCCACCCAGTATAACTGTAACCTAACCTACACAGTGCATCTAACGTGTGTGGGAGCCTGGAGTGTCCCTTTAATGATATAAACCCACCCAGTATAACTAACTGTAACCTAACCTACACAGTGCATCTAACGTGTGTGGGAGCCTGGGGTGTCCCTTTAATAATATAAACCCACCCAGTATAACTAACTGTAACCTAACCTACACAATGCATCTAACGTGTGTGGGAGCCTGGGGTGTCCCTTTAATAATATAAACCCACCCAGTATAACTGTAACCTAACCTACACAGTGCACCTAACGTGTGTGGGAGCCTGGAGTGTCACTATAATAATATAAACCCAGCCAGTATAACTAACTGTAATTTAACTGTGTCTAAAGTAACCTTGTCACTGGCTTTTGGAGGGGCCTGTTTGACAGCCTCCTACCCTGTGACTATGGCTCCTGTGTCAAATCCTGGTTAGAACCACTGGGTGTGCCCTTTTTAAACTTGTATGACCACAATTTGAACTTTCTAAGTGGCACTTCGAACTCCTGAACCCATTCGAAGCGCCATTCAAACACGTGGTGGCGGCGGCCATTTTGTTTAGTCGAACGCATTCAGGGGTGTTTGGTCGTCGAGTGCATGGAATTGAAATTGGACACTCGACAGCACGAACACGTCTAAACTTTTATCTTCCATAGAGGCTCGGCTATTTGAACTAGACTCGAACGCCATTTGGTAAAAAGAAACCCACGAACAAGAGACTCATAATGACTATATCCACGAACGGCTACGTTTGGTAATTTGAACGGTATTTCGACTATTTGAAATAGACCGGCCGCACAGCCTGATTCTCTGGAACTGTTTTTGGCATGAAAACATGCGTGCAGTTGGTCCCAAAGAGACTTTCAGGAATTTCCTTAAACTCTGCTCTGATCTGGGTGATTTTTGGATATGTTGGTCA